AAAAAAAAAAAAAGAATTATGTATCTTTACAAAAATTTTTAAGTAAAAAGTAAAAGTCTCTCCCCCTCTCTGAAACATACATAAATTCTAGAATAGAAGTCAGTCACATACCTATCCTTGTGGCTGGCAGCCTCATGAGAATCGTAGGAAAGGAGTAGTAGATGGAAGAGCTGTTGTCCAAAAGGGTACGGTGGCTTTGTTGTTACAAGAGGAAAGTTTGGAGGAAAGGGTGCCTCACAGATGACAGTAACAGCTGGCTACTACACCACAGATAACAACTCCCAGGGGTTTTTTTTACATATATAGAAACATGGGAAGTTTCTTTCTTCACAAAAATAGGATCATACTATTTGTTTTGCAACATTTAAAATATATGTATATATTGTGGAGAGGAACTTAGAAAAAATCAGAAGACTAGATGGTTCTATTCCAGTAATTTAACAATACTTGTACTGAAATAGAAGCTTCCTAGAAACAAGGAGTGCTTTAGAAAACCCTTCGGAGGCCAAATAGGTGGCCCAAGATGCTAAGTGCAGCAGTTTCTCTAGAAAGGGGCAGTGTCCTTAACTTCTAGTATGAATAAAGTCTTAGGCTAGAGAGGGTGCTGAAAATTGCCATAGCCGGCACTGTTCATTTCAGTAAGTGGAACTTTTAATAACCTTTCTAGTTTCCTGCCTTGCTCCAGAGACAAGTGTTAACAGGCCATTCTCCTGACTTTAAGCTTGCAGTAAAGATTCTAGCGTAGCATGTGATTTGCCCAGAGAGTTAAACATGCACGCTTGCATAGTGTTCAGGGACTCATATGAGCTATCTCAGCCGTCCCATTTTCAAAATGATTTTTCCCTTTTGAGCCATTAATCCTCAATATGCGTATATGTGTGTGTGAGTGTGTATGTCTGTGTGTCTGTGTCTGTGTAGATGTGCATGCACGTGTGTATGTGTATGCTGTCTTTTATTGAAAGGTGTTTCTACTTAAGGTGATTAATCCATGTGCAGTTAAAATGATGCTGACCAAATTAATTCTATTTGAGGCTTAATTGTTAGCCAAATACTATGTAAATCTTATATATGAATAATCTTAATCTTTTAAAAATATTTAATACTTAGAAAAATGACTCTGGATCATTTGTACAGATTGTTTGAGGATACTGGCTTCTAAATAAAATTGAATGCCTCTTCCCCCATTCTTTGCTTGCTAGAATTAGACTGTCAAAGTGAGGGTGGTGGGGGAGGAATCCTTGAGGAGGAAATCTTGTTAGGAGAAGCCAATCTAGGACCCTCTAAGATGGTCAGAAAGTAACAAATCATTTTTCATTTTAATTTCCTGGCAAAATTCATGAAAAGTAAAGGAAGTTGAGTTAGTATATTAAAGCATTTGGGAAAGTATAAACAGGCTTTCTCATTTATTGACTGTATGGCCTTGAGCTGATAACTTCTTTAAGTCTCAGATTCTTCATCTCAAAATGAGGGTAAGAGTCCGACCTCCTAGAGTTGATATGAGACCTAAGTGAGATTGTGCATGTAAGACACTAAGCACTGTGCCTGCTACACGGTAGCAATTGTTCTTGAAGGTTCTTGCTATCATGAGGTTGATATGGAAAAAGATGAAGATGTAGACATAACATGTAAGGAGAACTTTGAGATTTTTTTCTTGCTCCTCACTGATTCTAAATTCCATTTCTGTGGTAGGTGGTGGACTTTGTAGCAGCAACACTGCAGCGAGCATGTGCAAGCTTGGCCCACCAGAGAGAGAGCACTGTGGAATCACAGACACTGAGCATGTCCATGGGGCTGGTGGCTGTCATGCTGGGAGGAGCTGTTCAGGTGAGTTGCAGACATGAGCTAAACTTGAGTGGAGGGAGAAGAGAAAAACCTATTGCTTCCCTTCCATACCCTTGTGAGAAATAAGAATGGATGTTGTGCATAGTAGAACCAGGATAAACAAGTCAGGTTGTTACTAGAATTCTTTCCAAAGTAGAAGACAAGAAAATTGTGCCATTTCTTCCTTGTCACCTGTGTAGACTTTACCAACAGAAGGACAGGGCCCTTTCTGACCTGGCACAAACTTGATTTGGAAACACCTGGCACAATGTTTTGCCTCATGGTGAATGCTAGATTGTCTGACCCTCACTGTAATGGCTTTCCAAATTTCAGCCCTTGTCCCTACTGTTATAGTCAGGGGAAATCCTTCATAACCTACTGGCTTCTGAGGGTTCCATGATTCCATCTGTTTTGTATAGTTCCATTTCAGCACAGGATCCATCTTTCAACCCACCTCATGTAGCATGTTAAAGCTTTGTTTCCAGTGCATGTATCTTTTATATACTTAGTTTATAATTTTGTAATTTATTCACTCAAAAAATATTTATTGCATACTTGCTATATGCCAGATACTGAGCTAAGGTGCTGGGAATACAGCAGTGGACAAAACAGTCTTGGTCTGTACCCTTGTGAAGCTTACAGCCAGTGAGAGAGTCAGGCACCAAATAACTGTTCAAAAAATATACTTGGAATTGAATGAAGTGCCTCAGAAGAGAAGTAGTAGGTACCAAGGGAACATAACACCCAGTCTAGGCTGGGAAGGTTTCCATGAGGAAATGTAAGTTTAAGCTAAGACTTGAATGATGAAGTGTGGGAGTGTGTGTGGTGTAGATGGAGAAAACTCTTCCAATTAAAGAAAACGTCATGTACAAAGGCTGGGAAGCAGGAAGGAGCTTGGTATACTTGAGACTCTGATAGAAGGCCAGTATAGCTGAATTCTAGAGACCAAGGGTCAGAGTAGAGCCAGACAAGGTGGAAAGGTAGACACAGTGTGTGTCTGGTTAATTACAAACATACTAGGTTAGGAGGCTGCAGGAAAGCAGAATAGGCTTAGAGCAAGTATTATGAAATCTAACCTGAAATCAGACTGGTATAACTCTTAGCAATGAGTAGGGAACCCTCTGGGAATGGATTTTTGAGTTTGAGGATTTAAATCTCATACTAATTCTTGATATGTGAGAATTTGCCTCTCTTTAGCCTGTCCTTAAGGCCAAAAGGAATTTTATTTGGAATTTTATTTGTTATTAATGTGAAGCCCGTTTCTTGGTAGATGTACTTAGCACTCCTAATTTTATTTTTCCCTTATAGTTTGAAAATAACATTTTTGCTTCAGTTTCTAGAGTCATATAACATCTCTTCTGTTAGAACTGTCAAGGAGGGGTTCACCAATGGAATAGTTTTTCTTAAGTTGTATTGTTGTTAAATTTAGTTGGCCTGATTGATTTTTGTTTTTCTGGTTGAGTATTAATTTGAATGGTCTTTGTTTCCATAAGTTGAATGTGTTTTTGGCTTTTCTTAGAATTTCGAACCACAGCCCAAATGGAAAACAGAACACAGAACTGTGGGGACTGATGCAAATGTACATCCCTTACCTGTCCTTACCCTTCCATGAGCCATCATGACTCACTGATTACATCCTGGATTCCTCTGACTTTGCAGTTAATTAAGTGAACATTAGCACGTCACCCCTATACCTTTGCCCTAGATCTATTAATTTTTTTCCGCTTATTTCATGGATTTATAAGTGGCTTCTATAGTAATGCTGAGTTTTCTGTCTTTGTATTAGAAAAAAAAGTCGCGATTCTGAGTTATGTTTTCAGGTGATGATTGTCAGGCTAGAGTTTTTGCTTCAGAGTCTAGAAGAATACACTGTGCTTATCCCTGATCAGGATTCATTGTTTTGGCTAATGAAACAGACTCTAATAGCATTTGAACCTTTCTTTCTTACCTTTCCAATTTATGTAATTAAGGTGATTATTAGAACATAGTGTCTGGGAAGAGGAGTTAATTTGGAGAAAGTGTAGGCTTGAGATTGCTAACAAGACAACTGTAATTCCAAACTCATTTTCTAAGTTTCAGGCTTGGTCATGAGTAAAACTATGATGTTGGTAACTTCCCTGTTCCCTCAGGAAGCGGTTTCTGCATGATGTTCCAGGCCCCGTCGGGTCCTCAAAAACACTGATGCACGGCGCTGATCTGAGCTTTCAGGTGCAGGTGGTGGGGCTGGGACTTGAACCCAAATCTTGAGCTCTCATACCGCATTTTCTGAGAGTATCTTTTTTTTTTTTTTCCCTTAAATTTTATTTATTTTCTTCATTCTTTTCCCCCAAAGCCCCAGTAGATAGTTGTATGTCATAGATGCACATCCCTCTAGCCACTGTACGTGGGACGTGGCCTCAGCATGGCCGGAGAAGCGGTGCGTCTGTGTGCGCCCGGGATCCGAACTCAGGCTGCCAGCATTGGAGCGCATGCACTTAACCGCTAAGCCATGGGGCCGGCCCTGAGAGTATCTTTGAATGAACTCATTCAAGAAATGTTTATCAAGTGGCTCTTTGCCCTCATGGAGCTTACCTTCTAGTGGCTGTGATTAATCTGATGAGTTCTTAACTATTTTTTTAAAAGATTTGTATTTCTATGTCTTACGTGTATCTTTATCTATAGCTCACTATGAAACAGGGCATATGCATGCTGACTTAGAATAAAAGTAAAAATACCACTGGTAAATAAATTCAGTGACAATATGTAAATAAGGACCTGGACATATACCACTGGTAAATAAATTCAGTGACAATATGTAAATAAGGACCTGGACATATAAACTGTCAGCTAAATATCTGAAGAAACAGGTGATATATAGAAATGAGAAGACAAAGAAAAAATGTAAATATTTTTCAGAATTAGGAATATTTAGGCCAACATTTTATTGCTGGAAGAGATCCTTGGATTCTTCCAAAATAGTGATTCTCACGGGAGCAGAGTAAGACAGGATGAGGGTATGTATGCTCCACAGGGGAGCTTGGTAAAGTCTCATGTGGGGCTCTTTCACTGTGCACATGCCCTCCTCTGGCTGTCATCCAGTTCTGATGTGCTTCCCTTAGAGGTCGTGCTCTCTCCCACCACTCCCCACCCTCAATCCCACTCCTACCAGTCCAACCCCCAGTTCTTAAATTCAAAAACTTGCAGAAATTTAGAACAACTTACTGTCTAACTGGTTCACTCCTGACACCCTGAAAGAAATCATAGATGTGGGCTTCCATAGCTCTGCTCATTCCATTCCTGAAGCATTCCAGAAACTCTGGAAGGAGACAGCCAGATAAAGGAATCTGTCACTCACTTGTGGACTGCTCCTTCAGGCCTCAGGTTTCTTTTACACAGAATTCTGAGATCTGGATATGAGATATGTGCTGAGAAGCAGTGACAGGAGTGGAAATGAGGGCTTTGTGGTCAGTTCTCAATTTTGACAGTGGCCCTCAGTGACCCTTTGAAAAATAATTAACTACTTAGTACTTCAGTTTTCTCATCTACCAATTAAGTGAATATTACTTTATATCTCAAAGACTTTTGAATATTTATGAACAATAGTTGGCACCTGTAATCTTAGATTTCTCTGGTTATTCTCCTAGTGGGAAATCTGTAGGCTTATGAAGCTGAAAGTGTGTATAAATTTAACTGCCTTATAAACTGTTTGATTCAGAATCCACCTACCTGCCCATGGTGATTAGAGAAGTTACTCAGTTGAGTAAGATGAATCCCACAATGGCAACTAAGTTTGAAAACAGAGAGAAAAGATAGTTGGGTTTTCTTCTTTTTTTTTTAATAGACATTATTTTTTAGAGTCGTTTTAGTTACACAGCAAAATTGAACAGAAAGTAATGAGATTTCCCATATACCCCTCACCCCCACACGTGCACAGCCTCCCCCACTACCAACATCCCCCACCAGACTGGTACATTTGTTGCAGTCGATGAACCTACACTACACATCATTATTACCCAAAGTCTGTAGTTTACATTACGCTTCACTCTTGGTGTTGTACACTCTATGGGTTTTGACAAATGTATGATATCTACCATTATAGTATCATATGTGATAGTTTCACTGCCTAAAAATCCTCTGTGCTCTGCCTATTCATCCCTCCCTACCCCAACCCTGGTAAACACTGATCCTGTCTCCACAGTTTTGCCTTTTCCAGAATATTATATAGTTAGAATCATATACTATGTAGTCTTTCCAAACTGGCTTCTTTCACTTAGTAATATGCATTTAAGGTTCCTCCATGTCTTTTGTGGTTTGATAGCTCATTTCTTTTTAGCACTGAATAATATTCCATTGTCTGGATGTACACAGTTCATATCCAGTCACCTACTGAAGGACATCTTGGTTGCTTCCAAGTTTTGGCAATTATGAATAGAGCTGCTATAAACATCTGTGTGCAGGTTTTTGTCTGGATGTAAGTTTTTAACTCATTTGGATAAATACCAAGGAGCTCAGTTGCTGGAGGGTATGGAAAGAGAGTATGTTTAGCTTTTGTAAGAAACTGCCAAACTGTCTTGCAAAAGTGGCTGTACCATTTTGCATTCCCACCAGCAATGAATGAGAGTTCCTGTTGCTCCACATCCTCACCAGCTTTTGGTGTTGTCAGTGTTTTGGATTTTAGTCCAAATCCATAGGTCCTAATAGGTATGTAATTGTATCTCATTGTTTTATTTTTTTTTTTT